CCCTAGAACCCCACTCACTGCCGCCCCCAGAACCCCACTCACTCCCTGTCCCAGAACCCCACTCTCTCCCTGTCCCAGAACCCCACTCACTCCCTCCCCTAGAACCCCACTCACTCCCTGTCCCAGAACCCCACTCACTATCTCCCCCAGAACCCCACTCACTCCCTGTCCCAGAACCCCACTCACTCCCTCCCCCAGAACCCCACTCACTCCCTGTCCCAGAACCCCACTCACTCCCTCCCCCAGAACCCCACGCACTCCCTGTCCCAAGTCTACCACTTACTCTCTGTCCCAGAACCCCACTTACTCCCTCACCCAGAACCCCACTCACTCCCTGTCCCAGAACCCCACTCACTCCCTGTCCCAGAACCCCACTCACTCCCTCCCCCAGAACCCCACTCACTCCCTGTCCCAGAACCCCACTCACTCCCTCCCCCAGAACCCCACTCACTCCCTCCCCCAGAACCCCACGCACTCCCTACCCCAAGTCTACCACTTACTCCCTCCCCCAGAACCCCACTCACTCCCTGTCCCCCAGAACCCCACTCACTCCCTCCCCCAGAACCCCACTTACTCCCTGTCCCAGAACCCCACTCACTCCCTCCCCCAGAACCCCACTCACTCCCTCCCCCAGAACCCCACTCACCCCCTGTCCCAGAACCGCACTCACTCCCTCCCTGAGAACCCCACTCACTCTCTCCCCCAGAACCCCACGCACTCCCTGTCCCAGAACCCCACTCACTCCCTCCCCTAGAACCCCACTCACTCTCTCCCCCAGAACCCCACTCACTCACTCCCCTAGAACCCCAATCACTCCCTCTCCCAGAACCCCACTCACTCCTTCCCTGAGAACCCCACTCACTCCCTCCCCCAGAACCCCACTCACTCCCTCCCCTAGAACCCCACTCACTCCCTGTCCCAGAACCCCACTCACTCCCTCCCCCAGAACCCCATTCACTCCCTCCCCTAGAACCCCACTCACTCCCTCCCCCAGAACCCCACTCAGTCCCTCCCCTACAACCCCACTCACTCCCTCCCCTAGAACCCCACTTAATCCCTGTCCCAGAACCCCACTCACTCCCTGTCCCAGAACCCCACTCACTCCCTGTCCCAGAACCCCACTCACTCCCTGTACCAGAACCCCATACATTCCCTGTCCCAGAACCCCACTCACTCCCTGTCCCAGAACCCCACTCACTCCCTCCCCCAGAACCCCACTCACTCCCTGTCCCAGAACCCCACTCACTCCCTGTCCCAGAACCCCACTCACTCTCTCCCCCAGAACCCCACTCACTCCCTCCCCCAGAACCCCACTCACTCCCTCCCCCAGAACCCCACTCCCTCCCCCAGAACCCCACTCACTCCCTCCCCCAAGTCTACCACTTACTCCCTCCCCCAGAACCCCACTCACTCCCTCCCCCAGAACCCCACTCACTCCCTGTCCCAGAACCCCACTCACTCCCTGTCCCAGAACCCCACTCACTCCCTCCCCCAGAACCCCACTCACTCCCTCCCCCAGAACCCCACTCACTCCCTCCCCCAGAACCCCACTCACTCCCTCCCCCAGAACCCCACTCACTCCCTCCCCCAGAACCCCACTCACTCCCTGTCCCAGAACCGCACTCACTCCCTCTCTGAGAACCCCACTCACTCTCTCCCCCAGAACCCCACGCACTCCCTGTCCCAGAACCCCACTCACTCCCTCCCCTAGAACCCCACTCACTCTCTCCCCCAGAACCCCACTCACTCACTCCCCTAGAACCCCAATCACTCCCTCTCCCAGAACCCCACTCACTCCTTCCCTGAGAACCCCACTCACTCCCTCCCCAAGTCCACCACTTACTCCACCCCCTGATGGGAGACGTTATGGGATGAGGGACAAAAGAGCAGTGAGCGTTAAGATTCAGGCCGCTCTCTGGGACAGAGGAAGCTCGTTCGCTGCGTGAATGCCAATGAAGTTGGGACAGCACCGTTTGCACCCCCACCTCCAGCACCCGCCGCATCCACCCCCAAGCCCCTGAGCGGCCCCACCTCTCTCCCTGCCTCTGCCACGAATGGGATCTCGCGCAGGCCTCTGGTGTCTGCGGAGTCCAGTGGCGCGATGTCTGCGTTCGCTTGAGAAGCGACGGCGTGATTTGCAGTTAGTAGTGTGCAACGGCGCTTCGATTTATTAACTAAACTAAGATGGCGTTGCATCGCATAAATACCGATTATTTTCACATGCTGATTGTACTCGTGCGGCTCTGTTGTTTATCCACTGTTGGATGCGGGCTCCCCATGGCAGTGCATGCTGGTCGTAGGGGTTATTCGACCATACTCCCCCACGCTGATCAGTGCGGGTTGGTGAAGACGGGCAGTATAGACGTGGGTGGGGGTCTAGGAGTACTGAACCATCACGCTGGGTGATGGTGCATTCTGCTGCTATTCACCAAGACTCTGGAGAATGTCGTGAGAAATGCATGTAATGTGTGGGCTGTTCTTTTGAAATGTCCCCTGCGAACCACTGATATTTAACTTCAACCCGGGCCAAACAGATGGGCGAGCAATAAAACATAAAGTTAATCAACCTCCTGAATTAAGTCTGAGGACTGCTGGCCATGGGGCGTCACAGTAGGGAGATGTTAACTATTCTAGATTTGAAGATGTTAACTACCTCGCCAGCGATAGAGGAGGTCCTGGGTTCGATCCCGAGACCCTGACTCCTGTATATTTGGAGTTTGCATGCTTCTCTTCCCGTGGTCGCATGAATTTGTATCTAGGTCCTGCGGTTTTCCCTTCCACATTTAGAAATACGCTTTATACATTTCCACATGATAAGCCACTTCGTTGAGCTATCACTTGTGGTCAGGTCGCTTCTAAAAAAAGCGATATGTATAGCTCAGTGGGCCCTACCTGGTGAAATAAAAATAGTAAATAAAGTCACGTGCCGTGTAGATTTATAACTATTTAGGGGGAGGGGTTATGAATGTACGTGTACTGCCCGTTCGTCAATCCACTGCTGGTTGAGGGCCTCCCAACGCCTCACGGCTCGTGAGGGTTGCTTGACCACATTTCACTATTCTCACGGCATTTCGTTGTGAGTGCATAATTTCGTCAGCATTTTTGTTCAACACAAACAAACACTGGACTGATTTTGACGCACACTGTCTCATCAGCAGAGTCGGGCTGATTAGTTATGTTTGAATCCCTGCTGAGCGTCTGATGGGGTCGGGCTCATCCGAGGTGATTTGGTCACACTTAGGCTGTGGGGATGATAACATAAAATGCCCGCCCACCTATCCAGACCCCCCCTACAATGTGGAGACATTTTACGAGCACCCCTTGACTGCCGACACAATAGCGCGCCTGTCTCACGGCCCAGCGGCTGTTTTCGTGTGTGGAGGAATATAGACTCGCCGCGCTTTATGAACGTGAACCTAGCAAGAAAATGTCAATCTGTCGCCGCTCCTGCGAGCAGGCGGAGTGGTTAATGCGCCCTCTATTATTCAGCCAGGCGAAAGACCATTGAGATTTATTATCTTTTGGCTTAGGAAAACACGTGTGGAGTGATACGAGTCTATATTCAATTCAGTGGATTGACAAGGGGCTGTAAATTATTACTGTTAATTTTTACATTTTAAACGGAGCTGGCCCAGGTGGCGCTCCATCAGATCGTATTGACTCGCAAATGGGAAAATTGTGAGTTCAAACTCTCGTCGGGAGTCAACCTCAACTCAGCCCCATCATCTCTCCGTGGTCGGTAAAAAAATATATGTGCCACCTTTGGCGAGTTATAACGTGGATTTCCTATGGCTATAGCCTGGTTCCTGCCGTATGAATGCGGAATGTCCACCACCGGATCAAGACCACCAACAAACATGACCATCCCCCAAGACTCGCTTGGAAACACGAGGCCACTTTGAATTGTAAATGTTTCTCATTACGGCACGCCCCCAGTTACATGTGTTTTGCTGTTACCAGGTTGCAATGGTGTAACCAGGTCCCCGTCGATAAATAAGAATGTATTACCCAATGGGTTAAACCTGTGCCAAAATAAAACTTTCAACCCAAACGCAACGAACGATGCGTGACTCTGAACATGTCGAGGGTGCACGTCTTTCATATGCCCACTGCGTAAATGTTCCCGCATTGTCGGGGGCCCGTTTAACGCATGGAAGGCGCTATAAATATGAGCACGATTATGATGTTCAGCCAACACCGCCTGCGCTTGCATCGCATGCAACAACCAGAGCCGCCAGAGGCGTTGCGCTCACAAGACGCTCGCACTGCCGCTGTGTTTTTAGCCAATGGATCAATTGATGGCCCCGACGCCATCCGAGGAGTAACTTCTCAAAAGATGACCTTGGTGCGATTCAGCGAGGCGCGCTGTGAGTGATCGCGCCTATTGTGAGCAACTGGGACCACGAGCAGAGTTTAATCGCCCGTTACGACCATGTACCGCATCCAGCCTTGCAGACTGAGACCACGCATTAATCACCGATAGGAGGAGGGGGGGGCGAGGAAGAGAACGACGAGGAGCATTGTTGAGGTGGAGAATGTTTCCTGCATACTGGTCTATATTCTGCCTGTGACAGCCGGGGGGTGGGGGGGGGATGAGAGATTAAGGGTGGGGGGTAATGGAACGAATGAATTTAATTTCTTATGCAAATTTGAACTTCGCACTAAGCACCCGTGTAATCTGCGCACAATGTGCGCCCTGATGGGGGTCGTTTATTTTAAGCCACTTTACATGCGCGAAACGCTTCAATTGCGGATGTCGAGCGCCTGAATGGATGTAAATATCTGGCCGAGTGAAAACGGAAAAGGAGATAAAGCAGTAGAAAAGAGAACAACCAATCTACCACCTCAAATACACCTGGTGTGGTCGACTTGTGCGTGACCACGGACATGGTGAATGTGTCTCCATGAGAAATCATGCCTCCAGGTCGGGGAATTAGGCGTGCGCGCGTTGGCGGGTGACTTTGACGACGCCTTGCATGTCGCGTGGCTCTCGCCCACAGATTCCAGGAGGCGCAGGGACGAGGTGAGACCCCGTATCTCGGCCCCGCTGGCCTTCCTCTCCTCGCTCCCCGTGAGCGCCGAGGCCGCCCTCCTCCAAACCGCATCCCCGGGTAGTGGAGGGACCCCTCCGAGTTGCGGACCCTGCGCTCGCCCCCTGTCCACTCCCGAGCCTAGCAGCACAACTCGGGATGACTTCGACGGCGCTTATGACGGAGACGGCGACGACGATGACTGCGATGATGATGACTGTGACGATGATGACGACGACGACGATGATGATGATGAAGAAGACAGCGGTGGGGGTCCCAGATCGTTATTGGGGGACCTCCTATCCCCCACCGAGCGCATCCCAGACGTGGTGTGGACGCGCGTGTTCGCCCTCCTGCGCGCGCGCGACCTGTGCGCGTGTGCGCGCGTCTGCAGCCGCTGGCACCGCCTGGCCTGGCAGCCGGCACTGTGGTGCCACGTGGCCCTGGACGGGACCGTGCCGAATGCGGACCTGGCCCTGGAGGCCATCGCTGCGAACCTACGGGGCGCGGATGGGGAGGGCTTTGCGCCCGCGGAATCCACTCCGCTCCCCACCCGTGGCCGAGCCGTGGTCCCGGCACCGCTGAGCGAAGCGGTGGTGGCGGCGCGCGGTGCGGGCAGGAGAGCGAGCTCCCACGACGCGTACGGAGCGGTCATCAGGGCCTGGCCCGACGAGACGCGGCGAGGGGGCCAAGGGGGGCGAGGGGAGCTGTCCCCTAACTGGAGCTCGGCGACTTTGGGCGGCTTCTACCGAAACTCGGCGCACACCCTTACCATGCCTCGCAAGAGCACCGGAGTACGGAGGAACTTCAGCCACGGGGACTTCTCTTGTTGTGGGGACCCAAGATTCAACAACAAAAGCCATGCCACCACCGGTCCGACTACTGCCACCACCGACACCATCACCACCGGCGCCTTCGCAACTGCATCCGCCACGCTGCAGGGCCGCAGGCGCCGAGTAAACCACGGAGACTCCCTCTCCCTGAGCTCCCCTCCAGCACACAGGGGCTGGGACTGTTGGACGCGGGGCAGCAGCGATCGGTGGCTTCCCCGCGTGTCCGCCCACCTCGGGGACGAGGAGGCGTGGAACGACACGGCCGCGTGGAGCGCCCGCCAAGAGCTGGTGCTGAGCGGCCCGCGGGTGCTGGTCCTCAGCGGGTGCGCGTCGCTCACGGACGCGGGGCTGCGAACCGTGGCCTCGAGGTGCAGCGACCTGCGCCGCCTGGAAGTGTCGGGCTGCGGCGGCATTACGGAGGAGGGACTGCGGGAGGTGGTGCTGCAGTGCCGGAGCCTGCACCATCTCGACGCTTCTGGTAACGGGGGATGTCGTAACTTTAATAAGCATCAGGGCTTAATTTCAGCCGGAGCTGTCCAGGGCTGAGCACCTGAAAGTATTTTTGGCGAGGTCCCGGGGGTGGGGGTTTGGGCTGGCGGTTGGGTCACCCCAGAAATATTGCATGAGAAATGAAGTCCTGATCATCATCATTCTATCTCCCTTAACCGCAAAGGTCGTGGGGGTGCCACTGATGGCTTGTCTGTTAACTCCCTCCACTTTTTTCCTAACCTTCGCCGTCTTTGTTAGGTGCTGTGTCGACTTCTCTGTTCATGTTATCGGATTTTTTATCCAATTTAATCTATGGTGTATAGTGCAGTTTCGGACTCTCATCCTCTGTCTCTGTGGCCCCGATTTATGTGTTATGAAGGGCCATTGACCGAAACGTCGCCTATTATATATTTTCCTTTTCAGATATAGCCGTGTTATTTAGTGGCCATCTCGTAGCTCATGTCTACAATGCTTGGTATTCCCAGGAAGTTACCCATCCAAGTACAGTACTAACCAGGCTCAATCGCCTACTTAGCTTCCGAGATCTGACGAGGTCCGATGCATTAATGATCTGAATGGTTCCTACCGTGATGCGCAGAGGTGAAGAGCGGATGTTTAGGTCATCGCTTCCACACGTGGCAGGATAAACGGATACGTGTGGATGCCCTAACTGTTCGTTGCAATTAAATCATGTGTTTGCATGGGAGCTTTTACCCTGTTTATTGCACTGTGTGAATATAGAATGTGTTAGGTGAGTGAACATTTACACATTGGGAGCTGATAAAAGGCACAACGCTCCCGCTTATTTCATGATAGTGATTTAGATTAAATAAATGCATGGTATATAATAATAGAATATACATATCACTCATGCTAAATTGCTTAAACATTAATTGGCCACCTAATGGAACACTTTCCTATGAATGACACAATATCTATTTTTTGAAAGAGACATCTTGCCTCAATGGGCTCTCGCCTATGTATAGAGGTCATCTGCTTTCCTGAACAGTTTATCTATGAAGCTCGCAATCCTCTTTCGTTCGAAATCCTCTTTCATTCGCTCCAGACTGCCCTTGCGTCTGTGGCCTGGGCCTCCACACCAGGGCCGACCACATGGCTCTGAGGGCGCTGCCGGCCGTTTCCTGCGGCGCCTCCCTCTCGCTACGGCGCCTGGACCTGAGCGGCTGCCCATCCCTGGAGGCGGCTGCCCTGCGCTCCCTGGCCGTGCACTGCCCGAACCTCACGCACCTCTACGTGCGGCGGTGCCCTGCTCTGGGAGACGGTGCGCTGCGCGCACTCGCCAGGGGCTGCCCTCGCCTGCGCGCAATCAGCTTCAGCGACTGCCCTTTGCCGTCCGACCTCGGGTTGCGGGAGGTGGCTGCCGCGCTGGGCGCCCGCCTGGCTTACCTGGGCGCGGCGCACTGCGGCCGCATCACGGACGGCGGCATGCGCCACCTGGGCCAGAGGTGTCCGGCGCTGCGCTACGTGAACGTGCGCGGCTGCGAGGCGGTGACGGACGCCGGGGTGGGATCTCTGGCCCGGGGCTGCCTGGCGCTGGCCGCGCTCGACGTGGGCTCCTGTCCGCGAGTCTCCGACCTGGGGCTCGTGACGCTGGCGGCCAGGCAGCCCGGCTTGCGCTGCGTGGGTCTTCGCGGCTGCGGAGCCGTGAGCGGCGCGGGGCTGCGCGCCCTGGCCGACGGCTGCCCGCAGCTGCGGCGCCTCTCCGTGCAGGGCTGCGACGTGGCGACCGCGGAGTCGCTGCGCTACGTGCGGCGGCGGTGCCCGGCCTGCGTCATCGAGCACACGAACCCCGACTTTGAGTCGTGATGCGTGGAGGGGGAGGGAGGTTGCGTGTGGCACGGTTTGAGAGACACGGGGGTCCTGTGCCTCTCACCGCAACCCGTGTTGAGATGTTGGGATGGACTGCAGAGAGAGTGTCTGTGCCCGGTGCGTGCTGTTGGCGAGCGCGTGTTGAGGCCGTGTCGCGCGATAGGAATTCCCCCAATGGCACTTCGTCTGCCCGGATAACCTTCCCCCGCATTTTTGGCAGATCTTACTTCTCCCGCATGATTGGCTCACCATTGGTCCTGTGCGCTGATAACAATTTGGAGTGGATTGAACTCTAACTCTTGTGAGAACATGAGGACATCGAATCCTATTCCGAACCCCCCTCCCTTGGTGCTTTCATCGCACACAACTGCAAGGGACATGGGCGTTCATACGATTATGCATATACACATCTTGGGTTGTAAAAGAGATGTCGTACTCACTGAAAAATAAGTTTATTTTATAACCTCTTTAGCTATATTTTAAAAAATCACGTCAGTAAGCTGTTGTGGCATCATGGCGAGTCTGTGCCAGGCTAAGTGCCCTTTGAGGTTGCGTGAAATTACAAAGGCTCGCTGTCATGTGGTCACGGGATTGACCCATGCAGGTGTTAAAGAGCAACTGGCAGATGCATCACGCCTACCACACACACATTTGCATGCACACGAATATCTGCACTCACTAAACTGCACACACTCCATATTGAGGTGATGGACATAGACACGTGTAACTAACCTACTTTATATTTCAAATATCATCAAGGATACTGCCTGCTCAATATATTCTTTTCACTAAGCTCCTTTGAATTTGACAGCTGTAAATTGATATCCGACTTGAAGTAATGGGATATAATTCAGACGACACGGGCACGGGTGGGAAATTTTTTAATGTTATTTAGCATTCTGAAGTCACAAGCCGCATTCCATCTATTAATTACATCTCTTGAAAGGAAACATCCGTGATATTTTGTATGATTCTCACGAAGGATGCCTGTGGTTTTACGAGTCGCAAAACAATACTGTTAATTCTGTGCAGTATTTTAGATTAGGGTTTTATCTCAAAAGGGCCATATACTGTCGTTGTTATCCGAGGGAGATTAATGTCATTAATAATATACATGTACAAGGATCATCTTTAACATAAGATACACGTACTGTATATAATTTTCGGGTAACTTTTCAGTTGACACTAATGTTTAGGTGATATTATTATGACGTAGCTTAAACACATACAACGTTGCTCGTATGTCTTAAAATTAGATGTTACGCGTTACGAACACACGTGCGTGGGTGGCAAGCGATGTTAGTTTAAATATAACCAACTGTTGGAAGGAGGCCTCCCCACGCCGTGTGTCAGTCACGGGTCAAATTTGGCCATACTTCACCAAGCTGGTCAGCAAGGATTGCTGAAGGAAGACGCAGAACTGATTGGGCTGTCACTCGCTACTGATGATATCAGTGGAAGTTATTCATGTCAAAGCGGTTCAGTCAAATAATTGAATTAACACGTACGCTTCCGTTCGATATCTGCACGTAAAAAACGAGGTATATATTTTAGCCGATTGGCCTATTGGTCTCTCGAACTTATGTTCACGAACAGCATTTGTTTAAGCACACAATCTCTGGAGCGATACTGTTCTTCTGTGGCTTATCGGTAGAGTCAGGGGTGCTAAACAAATGCTGCTGGATGGCAGCTGAATCTGATTTATGCGTTACTTATTTATTGTATACATCATAGTTAAACAAAATCAATGTTATATGCAACACAGGCGTTTTGAATACTACACACTGCCGTATAAATAGCTAACAGTGGTACGCTGAACATGTTCCTGTTGAAAGCACCGATTACGGATGCGTATTTTATGCAGCCACCAACAATGAGATACGCAGTTTATATGTTAATGGGAACAATGCAATTCATCAGCTGGTCATATAACATTGAAGGTGTTAATTAGGGGTGTAACGATTCATTAATATAACTCCTCACCCTCGTTCGATTTAGTGTCGTCTCCTTAATATTTCTCTTAGTTGCTGTCTCGTTTGCGGTTTTACTCGCCCCATTAGCCTAAATGTAACAACGACAATTTGTTTTTGAAATCTAAAAGTATCGATTTTTGGACGTGGAGGAATTCGACGCGCGTGTCGTGAGACTTAAACGTCGCTTGTTAATCGATGATTCTTGCATTGTTACCGTTTCTCGGTGTTCGCATGAGAGAGACAACATTTGCAACAACGAGATTGCTGAGGCTTGCATCACGTGACAGTGAGGGACGTCGACGCCTTTGAGCAGGCATTCATCCAGCCGTGGATAGATAATGACTGGTGATATTTTGTGACATATATAAACAATAAAACGGCTAATCTGGTATGTGTCCGGATATCTCCTTCTACTCGACCATTGCCACCCATTTTAACCATTGAGTTATTTGAAAAGCAAATGATTTGTAGTCTTTGCTTACCGAACATTTACAATGACTCTGCGCGTGATGTTGGCAATATTTGTTTTAAACATACAACGGACAGGTGTACATACCGTTGGTGTCTCTTTTGTAATTGTTACATTGGCCTCGCGAACCTACCGTTTAACGCAATCGTGTTAGATGTGTATTATTACAGTATATTATACTCAACAAATACTGGCTCGAGTTACGTAATTAAAATTAATCAGACGTATCAACTTAAAAGCATCACATCACTGGTTAGTGAATAAACTCCCTCGAAGTAATAATGGATAACCATTTATCTCAACGGGCTGCCAACGAGTGTAATATGAATGCATAGAGGGTAATGCACATGGCAGCTTAAATGCAAATACAAGCGTCTACGGGGTCGAGCGGTGGCACAGTGGTTAGCGCACTGCACTACGAACACAGATTACCGGCTACGGATAACATCAGTGGCGTGTGATGTTTTGACTGATCCTGAGACCACTGCTTACCAGTGCGGTAAAGGAAGGTCGAAAAACGCCCGAGAGCGACATGGCGTCCAGCAATGGATTGACAAAGGACCGCACACTATTATTTGTCTTTTGATGAGCAATATACACATGACAGATGTGAGCTTTTAGCTCGTTTAAATATAGATGCACGCTTCTCCTTATCAGGCCAGGCTTACAAGTGCAAATTTATGCAAAATGTATAGTGTGGGGGCTTCCTGTGGCGAGATGTTAACTCTCTACCCTACTAGACAGGAGATCGTGGTTTCGATCCAGGGCCTGACGCCTGTATATTTGGAGTTTGTATGTTCTCCCCGTGGTCGCGTGGATTTTTCTCCGGATCCTCTGGGTTTTCCCTCCAAATTTAGAATCAACATCACGCATTTAGAGTATTTGGCTGCTATTGATCTTCACATGATAAGCCACTTTGTTGAGCGATCGTTTGTTGCCAGATCGCTGCTGAAAAAATGGCTATATAGCTCAGTGTGCCTTACCTGCTAAAATAAAAAATATATAGTTTAATAGTTTATATCCGTGACCTCCTAAGTGACCCGAAGGAAATCACAATTGCCCTGTTCTCAACCACCGTGTCCCATCAAGACCCGTTCTGAACCACGCTCTCCCATCAACACAACCGTTAAAGGTCCCTCGCGAGTGGCTGACCTTATCCTTGGGCGATGTGAAGTTTTATTCGTATAATTGGACATAATAAAGCATACATCGCGCATCATATATCAAATCAGATGTGTATATTGCACACACACTGCTTGAAATGGAGGGAGGATATAATTCACAATTAGGTACATTATTGTGATTTCGTTGGGACGAACATTTGTTACTATCATCATCATCAGTCATGATCTATCTACTGTTGGATGAAGGCTTGCCCAAGCCTGTGACAAACATTTTGAGCGATGTTTACGCACCGGCCCATCTCATTTAAGGTTAATTCGACCTTGGATAGTCCCAAGAAAGGACCGGTTTGTATAATCACCGTCGCTGTGAATATAATTCAGGTCACGGGGTTCACACACACACATCGTTAAATGCGTACATGCGTGCATGCTTAAATTAGATTGTTGAATACTATGGCGGTCGGCTACGGTTCAGATCATATACATATTTAAATCTCTTTTGTAAGTGCTGCGTATTAAAAAATATTCGATAATTTAGAAAATATTTGCCTTCGTAATTGCCTTCGTAATTGCTTCATTATCTGATGCTGTTGTTAATGCATTGTACTGGGGGGTGTCCTTGTATACTATCACCACAATGCCTTAAATTTAATTAATAAATACAACCCTTATTGAGAGGAGTCTGTCGAGGAGATGGATCGATGAAATCAGCTCGTGTGCAGGTGTAATGGGGATCCTGCCATCGCAGGATCGTGACAAATGGCGACGGCTTGGTGAGGCCTACATCCAGCAGTGGATTGATCATGGCTGGTAATAATGGGACCCCTTTTAATCCTTCACGATTACGAGCGCTATCCGACATAGTATGTTAAGAGCGCTCTGTTGAGATTTTCTTGTACAAATTTAAGCAGGCGCTTTACGCGTGAATAAATTCTCGATAATGAAGGTAAATCCAGAGCATCATGTCCCTTGCTGTGTGAACCTCACAGCAGCGGTGGTAAGATGCATCTGATGAGAGCGCCACGACATACCCCCAGACGTCTAGCAATGTATGAATTGCTCTACGGTGGCGACACTTTGCTTCCACGTGCATGTGTCAGGACCATATTTTTTTATGATTATGATGATGTAATTGCTTTGCTCGCGCCGCTGCTGGTAGAAGGGTCCGCCACTCTAGAGACCCATATTGAGCCCCTGTAAATTATATTTGGCCTACTCTTTCACGCTCACGAGACGTCTCGGCAGAGGTGGCAGTACTCACACCTTACCGCACCACTCAAGTCGTCAAACAGCATCATATTTTTGATCAACGTCCTGGAATCTTTCACATCCGATGCATCCCAGATATGCTCTTACAGGCTCATCATCACGAAACCCAGAATCTGGCGTCAGATCTTCCTTTGGTCGCAGACCTCTGGGTGCCACTCCAGTGCTTGTCTCGTAACATAGTCCAACCACCACCCTGCACACGTGTCCCCACTCATCGCAACATCCTCTTCCTGATTACACCTCTGTTGCTTTTCTCCCACGCTCTATTTACAACTATCAAGTCGCTCCACTGTTTCTCGTATAACATCCACATAACACGCTCCGTCTGTTATGCAGTCTGCAGGTTGATTGCATGAATCGCCACAGTGGGTGATTCATGCAAGCGGAAATTGGATTTTGCTTAGATTGACAAACTAAGTGGAATGCACTTACGGTGTTTGATGCGGCGGGTATGATTTGCATCGTGTGCGTGCGGGGTTCGTCGTGGCTCATTGGTGCAGCGCATCAGGCTTTTCCTGCGGACCAGAAAATAATACGACTAACATCAAATAACTTTAAATAAATAAAAAAGCAGATGTAGATTGGGTACATTCTCAGATGCGTCCTCTGGTCTAACACCGTTTTGAGACGAGGCTTAAAAGAAAGCTGTCTCTGGTGTGGACCAATCAGTTTCAAAGACAATGCATATATTATCAGAGTATGATTTTTGTTTGCGTTCTGACCACAAGTATTGTGGTTAATGCAGACATGATTCCTTGTAAAAGGTTTCAGTTTGGCGTTTTGACATTTCAACACCTGTTTTGTTGCTAGAAAAAAAAGGGGGAAACATATTCTCACGATCAAAACAAATCAAACAATTCACGGGGACATTTTATTTTGTGCTTAGCCGAGTCGTAAGTTGAGAGGAATCTGACCTGAGTACTAGATTAATTGAGGGCTGTTTGAGTTGAGAGCTACTTCAGTTGAGGGCGAGTGGAGTTGAATGCTGGTTGAGTTGAGGGTTGGTTGAGTTGAATGCTTGTTGATTTGAATGCTGGTTGGATTGAGGGCCGGTTGGCTTGAGGACCGGTTGGGTTGATGGCTGGTCGAATTGGGTTGGCTGGTAATGTTTGTCGCGTGTTTTAACGCGCGCCGCAGCTGGGTTGCGCTGTCCTCTTCCTGCAATCCTGGCTGTGGGCGCTTTGGCCAGGAGTTGCCTTTTCACATTGGGGCCGCATTATCGTGAGCCAAGCGCCTTGGCGTTAGAGATTATTGTAAGAGATTTAGACAGAACAATGGCATTCCCCCGTAACAAACAAAGCCGCTTGTTCGTGACCCCATTTTAGTTCCATTCAGTTCCATTTATTTGGTATAGCCCTGTGAGCCATTCGGCTCTTGAAGCGGGTGCAACCGCAACAAACAAAAAACATGAACAAGAAAACATCTTAAAGTGATTATGTGACTGTGCAAACAGAAAATCCAGGAAAAAAAAACATCAAAATATTCCTGAAATAGCACCGTACACCAACGCTGTGTGCAAAAATCCCAGTGGGATGCAAGTCAAACAACAACAACAACCACAAGACAACTAAGATTAAGGCCACCAGTCTAAATCCGTACTACAATAAACAAAAACATGGCCAAACCAAAAAACTTTTCAAAATCACCAAAATAAAAGACATAAATGCAATGTAACAGTGATCATAGGGACTGTGACTGAATTTTTAACAATAAACTACATAAATAACATGTAATACCAAACCTTAGAGCCATAGCTGGCTGCATGAGTCACTCCACAACAACAGGAGCATCAGTCGGAGTATCACATTTTTCAATGCACCTTTAAGATAAGCACACTAAATCAAAATACAGATAATACTTTGCAGCGGTCAGCCGGAGCGAAACATTTTATTTTAGGCCACTGAATAGCAGTGACAGCTAGGGGTGTACAACTCCTCCAGAGCAGTTTTGAGTGAAGATCTCATAGGTAGTGATTCAAGTTGCAGTTTATTGGCAATAGCATTCCAGACCCTGGGGGCATCAATAGCAAAGGCCTTTCGGTTTTTGTACGGCAATAGGGAATGTGAAGCTGGTAAATGAGCGAAGATCTGAGGTAAAATTTGTTCTTTGAAACAGAGAGGAGATCCAGTAGGTAGTCTGCGGATTTTTTTGTAAGTACATCGTGAATAAATAAGATCTGGTGCACAAGCCGTCGAACATTAAGAGATGTTAAGTTTGACCCAATGTAGAGATCACAGTGGTGAGTCCTATATGGGCAGTTCAATGCAAATCTTAAGGCAGAGTGATAGATGGAATCAAGCTTCTTCAGTACAGTACTTGGGGCTGATTTATACACGATGTCATAGTCAAGTAGAGGCAGTATGGTAGCGTATATCAATTCCAAACGGAACATTTGGGGGAAGCAGTGCTTGTGTCGATACAGAAAACCAATTTTTATTTTTGTCTTTTTACCAATATCATCAATGTGATCTTCAAAATTCAGTTTTGAAGCCAGGATGACCCCAAGATGCTTATAGATCTTGATTTGCTCTATTTGATCATTATTTAAGGAATGTAATTGGGGAAAAATAACTTCCTGCTTGAGTCCCGGTGAGAAGCATAGCACCTTGGTTTTGGAGGTATTCAGGACTAGTTTAAGAGCAACTAGCTGATGTTGTAGTTTGTTGAAATCACCCTGGAGCTTAGCAATCACGTCATCCGGAGAGCGGCCAGCAGTAATCAGTATCGTGTCATCTGGTTTAGCGCCTCGCCCACACATCTCTCGTAGCCTGTGGTGCACGCCAAAGAGGGAGGTGCATTTATTTGGTCAGTGTTATTATAATGACTCTCCTCATTACAGCTCATGAACCATTGGGATTGGTAGGTTCCACCCGGAGTGGCAAATGCTACGACTGTGTCCTTCCCCCGCACCTCCGATTAACACGGTTGGCCACATACGGTGCGAAACAAACTTACATACTGTTGTAGCCTTCACAAAAAGTCAGTTTAACACGTAGGCTTTCGCGACCAATATTATTCATAATAAAGGTTTTTGGGTTAGATCGCGTTTATTTATAAATGTGTCGTAACCCTCCACCACCCGACACGGCCAATCAGCAAAAAAAGTGTCACGTTGACAAAAGACAAATAATTCACTACTTCAGCCCACCGGTGTGTTGAAGAGTTAATCCACATTTACGCTAGCTTAAGTATCAATCTTAAGCTAGCGTATATTCTATATGTTATATAAATACTTAATTTCTACGTTAATATCCTGTAGATGTTCAATATCGCATTTCCAAACCAAAACGATACTCTCTGTCAAACGTACTGTGTGATACCCTTCTTCGACATTTTTCTCATAAGCAGCTGCCACGGTCACCATATATATTTGTGATAGAGATAAAATGCTTCAAGAAAATCATTGTTAGCATTGGCCACACTGGGTGGTACCGATAACATATTTTTACAGCAATGGCCCAATGACCTTTACCTGTACACACTTTAATTGCTCTCACCTGTACCTGGTACGGTGCTGGCTCTCTCTTCCCTATGTTTATCTTTTTCCTGAAGTTCACCATGCTATTGGTTGACTTCTCTCTTGGCCCCTGCAGCCTCTCTATATAATAATGTACGGCCCTTTGTCAATCCATTGTTGGATGAAGGCCTTGCCACGCCGATCAGGTCGTGGGGTTTTATGTGCCCATACTTCACCACACTGGTCTGAACGGGTTACTATAGGAGGCAAGGGCTATACGAGCGATCAGTCGCCACATTTTATTGGACTAGGAATCGAAATTAAATTTCAAGATTGCAGTGCATTAACCACTGTGCCACCACTCGACCACCTCATTGAAAATCTTAAAATGTTTTAAGAAATAACCTCCTCTCCTCCAAACCCCCTAGGTGTCTTCCTTCTGATTTGTGGTCTGTCCTTCTGATTCGTTGTGTCTGGAGATGGGGCACATTTAGAAGCTTAATGGATACAAATTGTATTGTATAGTGTAATGTTTGTGGTCATGTGGATATCCTGGGACCTGCCGTGAGAATGCATAATATCCACCATTTTTTAAAGGTAGCCAATGGACATGGGTGTTGCACCAATGCTTATCTGAGGAAGGACACATTTTATTGCGAGAAAAACATTATTTGATGACATCAGACATAGAGATGGACATTGTTTCGAGACATATTTCATGGAGGATTGTTGGTGGCTCATTGTGGAAGGGGCCGACCAGCAAGAGCATGGAATGATTGTGGGAAATCAATAGTTGAGTGCCAAAACCCTATAATTGATTGAGAAGACATCTGAAACATCTGCTAGGATATCACTAATGTTAAGATTTAAATACATGGATTTAACATAAAAATGCAACTTATACTATAATTGTGAACGATAAAATATGCTGATTTCGTGATTGCCTGAATTGAGACAAAGCTGGTTTGGCAAGTGGAAAATGTATTGAAAAGTCATGGCTAGAAATGTCCTACAATACTGCTCACAGGTTTAAAAACTAAATAATTGCTTCATCTAAATTAACGTGTATAAAAAGGTGACTGGTAAAGTTGCGAGAAGGAATGACAGTGGAAAGTCAGTAACAATGACGGAGTGGCAGCCAAGGAATGGAATGCATATAAACGGGCGTTCGCCGAGATGAGCTACGAAATCAGGTCGTGCGCAGGTGCAAGGTGGACTATATCACAGAATTGCGAGAGATGGGGATGGCTTGGAAAGGCCTTCGTTGAGCAATGTATTGTCCATAGCTGATGATAAACTAAGCGTGAACGATTACACTTTCCATTGGTTTGAAAAATTGCCATGATTTGGTTCCTTATTCCATTCAATAATCTATTAATATATGGATTGGTAAAATTTCACAGATTCAGTGTATATAGATTACATACATATATTCATATCAAGCACAAGTACTGTACAATAATTAGGTATGTCAACAAATATTTATTTTATTGGTTCACATTGCACTGTAAACAGAACGCACATAAGGAATACTAGAAACCGACAGTTGGGTCATTAAAACAGACACCTGTGCGTAACTCAACTCAGGAGACACTGATGTAATGAAGACAGCACGCTCACGACACGAAAGCCAAAAAAGGCCATGCTAACTCCAAGCATTGGGGGGCGAGGTGACGCGGTACTTGGGTCCATTCATCAACTCGTGCACACAGCCTGTTAAATAAAATGAGGGCATTACACCATACTAATTCACTTCATCCTCGTGTATGCCCGTCCCATGCGACTTCAATTACAACCTGGATTTTTCCAATTAGGACCTCTAGTCGGCTTGTGTAGAGAAGCTTACGAAAAAAATGCAATCGGTGTATTGCACAGCACCATAAGTCTTAAAAAGCCTTTGGGTGTAAGATCCAGAATCCACCGTTGACAACGCAGCTGCAATTTTTCTAAACAAACCGAATGCCAGGTATTGTAATTTACTCTGACGTCATTACGCAGAACACTTGCTCTCGTATTTTTTTACAATAGAAGACGACTCGAGAATTAACTACGATTGCTTTGTTTTTTTTTTGTCGGGAGGTATCTCAGCGCTTGCACGCTGTACCGCGAGAGAAAACGGTGGTAATTTGTATGCGGTAATATACTGATAACGTGCATTTTTGGCACAATCACAAAGTGTGAATAGATTACAAACAAGCTCTTGGGTGACGCACCGAGGACAATGACCACATTGGTACTGCAAACCACAAGAGAATTCGCAGGATCGCGGCGCCCATGACGTCAACAAAACAAACGCACTTCACAGCGCGAGTCACAAAACATAGTAGTCATATCTGGGTACAATTTGAACATAAGGCTGTACACTTTAATGTGTCAACAATATTTCTGTAAAATTTAATTTAAAAAAGCGAGTTCCAAAGCACCGCATTAAGGTATAAATATCAAATTTGTTGCCTTTGATTACAAAAATGTTCCATATTTAGAAAACATTTCTTTTCATCCTGTTTAAAGGTCGTTTTAAAAGGGTTTAGGGTTATAAATATTGCAACAGCTCCTACTTCATAAACAGGACCCTGTTTTGTTGATTAGAAGTTCATAAAAAAAGAGATCAATACAGCCCTGTGCAGAACACTCATCACACACGGCATTAGCATTAGTTAGCTTCATCTGCGCGAATCGACAGTAGTTCACGCTGGGAGGATGTACCTGTCGCTTGTGCTGGGAGTTAACTTCACTTGAAAGAGCAATTGGAAAACACGTACAAGCGCCACTTGACGAGAGGCCCTGCCAGATACTTAACACTCGCCCACAAGCGATTAAAATTAGGCTATATGACACTACAGATCGTTAAAACATGACTGTCATTAACAATGGATTAAAGAACTTAGGGCGTTTCTTTTTCCCCAATAGTATTTCTTAGTTTAGTATTTTAAAAAACACGTGAGAACCTTGCATCACACACATTTGTAAATATATTCAATTTGCTGTCCAATGTGCATTCTAGGGGTCATACCATGTTTTGTTCAGCAAGATGTCCGACATTTCACTCCGATCCACCCACAACCTGAGCTTAACTGAAACTGGAGAATCTTCAATTTAAGTTAGAGGTGAGCTCAGTTGAGTTTCTAAAGAGGCTCACAAGACACTGAGTGAGAGGTCGGACATCATGCCGAACGGCACGCGGTAGACAACCCGAAACCACACTAGAGAGCTGTACAGCACAACCGCAAAAAACCTATGCAGATGTTCCATTTGGTCACGTGTGCAAGCGCGTTTTCACACGGAAGACATTTGAATGCCTTGAGCGAACGGCCTCCGCACGGCGCCACTGTCCACGTCGCTATCGTCGCCACCGCCGCCACCGTGGCCGGACGGTGCCGCGCCGGACTCGATGAGCTCCACGATGCTGTAGGGAGCGCACTCCTCCAGGCCGAGGTGCGAGCACAGCCAACCAAAGAAGCCCTTCTCGGGGTCGCTGACGGCCCCCCACCAGGCCGTGAAGGACCATGACAGCTGCGCCACGGCCGCGTATGCCGCCAGCGAGAGACTCGTCACCGCAATGAGCAGAGGGTAGAGCAGCATCAGCAGCGGGCACAGCGTGACCTTGTGCCAGAAGGTTCGCTGCTCATTGTACACGAGGAAGACGTTGTACCAGGTGATGGTGCCGTAGTAGAAGGCCACGACCAGCGATGCGACAAAGGCGAACGGCAGGCACAGCAGGCTCCACAGGCTGGCGTGTGGCCCGTGGTTCAAGCCGCACCGGCAGCGCGAGTGGCACCTGTTCCGTTCGACCCCGTGCGTCTGAGCTGGCGTTGTCGTCGGGGCGTTTGTGCCGCTGCCACCGCTGCCTGTGACCGGCGCCTGGGGAGGTCCACAGCCCAGCTCGAGCAGCTCCTTTTCGGTAAGGCTCAGGTGGATGTCGACGAGCTGGCCTTTCTTCTTGCCGCGCGTGATGGTGCCTGTCAGCGTCACATAGTGGCCGTCGGCGCGGTCCCACGGGGCGCCGGGGACAAGCGCCGGGGGGAAGTGACGAGTTTCTCCCGCGGATTCCAAGCACACGTCCTCCACCTCGGCCCTGCCGCTCTGCTCCTGTGATGCAGGCGGACGTACGTCCCTTTGTTACAGTCATGTAGCATGTCAAAGCAACATTGAGGACAAATTGAAGAGTGATCTCAAGCAGAGTTCAGATTTTCAATTTTGTTTAATTTAATTAATGTATGTTATCTATCATGCATTGTTTTTGAACATTGTATTTAGTCTGAAATCACTTCCTTGCCGAATAATTATCCCAAATATCCTTTGTTCTGGCACTTCAAGATGTACTCCATGTAAATGACGATGGAGTTTTTTTTTCTTCAGAATGACAAGTTACGTTAATGGTTAATATACTTCAGTGGTGAACGTGGAGAGTATAGAAGTACAGTAATTGATATTCCATAATTCAGGTTTTTTTGGGTTAGATCGCGTAAATATATAAATGTGTCGTTAAACCCGCCACCATCCAACACAGTCAATTAGTAGGTTCGTCACGTAAACAGAACATGCCAATTTGTTACTACCGCACCGGTGTTTTGGAGAGCAAAGCCACATTTACAATCTGATTGATATTGCTGCACTATCCTCTGCTGCCCCCAACGTAGTCCCACAGTGGCCTACAACACCTGTTTTATGCGTGTTGGTTGCCCATCCAAATGCTGTCTCGGCTCAGCTCTCCTTAGCTTCCAAAATACAACAAAATTGGGTATAATCAGGGTGATTGTGGTCATAAGCAAACGGTGACGTACTAAAATAAGCAACACGGAAGTGGCAATCCTTCGCGAATGGCAGTTCAAACATCAAGAAGTCGCCGTCACCTGCACATTCTCGTCGCCGTTCTCCTTCTCCTCCGTGCGGAAGATGATAACCGACTCGGGCCGCGGCTCCCTTTTCTTGCGGCGCTTGCGCTTCTCGGCAGTGCTGCTCGTGCTGGCGCTCTCCCCATCGGTGCCACTGGGCACGTCGCGACTTGAAACCTCGCTTTTGTGCGCTGCCCGCCGCTTCTCCTTTGGCTGATGTTGCTTCGCCAATGCCGGCCGCTCGGACTCCCCTTGCTCCGCTCTGCCCGCCATCTCTGCCGTATGATTTTCCTCCTCCTCCTGTGCCGATGGGTGCCACCGTCGTTCCAACATGCACGCCCGTGGAGCTGCGAACACCAAAAGTGAAAAGCTAAGTAATAAGTTGTAAAAGGGAGGAAGAGCTAATTGTTACATTGTGCAGCGCACTAGCCAAGCAAATATAGGCTTTGGATAAATATAATTTGTGGGCTGGTTCTAAGTGGCAGGTCGCATGTGGCCGCAGGTTGTAGGAAATGACATTGTAGTAAATGACGTCGCATGCCATAGGCTCCCCACCACTGCGTTGGCCGAATGAGTTATCAAGCAATGATTTGCACTTCTCTGATGCAATAAATTATCACATTTCAGACCTACAATTGAATAAAAACGTTAGTAGTTTTCTACATACCATCTCATTTAAACTGTTGCACGTTATCCCTGTTCATTGAATTTGCATACACAATTGCAATAGTCGATGTAGACACTTATGATTCGATGCATGTACCGCGAGCATACGAAACGATGTTTAATTGATTAATCAGTACAACTCCATCCATAACCCAAACCTACCACTGGGTTCTCACCTTGGTACTCAGTACTCGGCAGACTCTCTCACCAGACCATTTCCTCCTCACGTTCGCCGCATCACTGCTGCCCGACAAAAAAAAAGCAGGTATAATCAACATTGTCAACCATGATCAATCCACTTCTGGATGAAGACCTCCCCAAGCCCCCTCCCATCTCTCACGAACCTTTGATGTAACAATTCCATCAAACACCTGCACAAGAACCGATTTCATCGCGGCGGACAGCCTCTCGTGCGTGTTCTGTCCCCCGGCTGCTACTCAATCCCCTCAATACACCGGCCATCAATCCCTTCTCGTAGCGCGTCCTGTCCAAGTCCACACACCTTTCTTAATAATCAATATGATGAGTCTAACTTGCGTATGTTCTCTAAATCCATGTGTTCCACTTCCCGTGTCTAATTCCAAGCGTGAACCCTCTCCATGTTGTTGTGCACACTTTGCAGCTTTTGTTTAATTTTCTCTGTTAATGTCAACGTTTCCTATGCATGTCACAGCAGGTAACCGAGTGCCTTTTGGGAAACAAAAAAGCAAACGTATTGAGACAAACAAAATATCTGTCTCTTCGCGCACACAAGCATCCCACATGAATACTCCACACAACAGCCGTTAACAAGGTAGTCGACCAATGTGCAGGAGACGTCCAGCAGCAACAGCACTGAACCGTGAGGGACGGGCGACTGCATACGGGAGGCCTTCCTTCATCCAGCAGTGGATAAGACAACGGCCGGTGATGATGGATGGCAGGCCGACATTGTTTACGTACGTATCGAACTTCTTTCGCGCCGTACGTAGCCAACCGTGCCAAATGGGTTGGCGAGCTGATGGAACACGACAACAGGACAGAGAGATGGCAGCTTCGGGAATAACCCCTGGAGAGAACAAAAATAGAACTCCCCGCAACGCCGCCTCGCCTTGCTCGGGAAACAAAGAAACGAGAAACGACGAGGAGGAGGAGGAGACGTCAAGGAGGAGTCAAGGAGGAGGTTCCACCATTGATGTGAGGCGTCTTCACAGCGACGCTGTATTAACATGGACCCAGGCTCGTTCGCTCGTCTTTACAAAAATCACCCAAATCCGTGTTAATTATTAACACACACACACGCCCGTAACATATATTTGTTACTGTACTCTACAGTCCAACAAATCAGCACGCGCGTAGGCGGATCGTTTGCATCGCCGGATCGTGATACATTACGACGGCTTGAGGAGGGCGTCGATTGCAGCAGCGGATTGATCATGGCTGATGATGATGATAACTACAACAACGGGATCGCACGGTCCCACCCCTTCAGCCCCCTCCGCATCACCCCTGCAGATCTCCACCCTCGCTCACACGCATCATACCTCACCGCCTCCTCACCGCCTGCGAGACCGGAGCTCGGCTTGCAGCAGCAGCAGCAGACGACGACGACGACTGGAGAGAGCGAGGCCGACGCCGGATCGCGGGGGAGCAAGGGAGCAAGGGTCCGGTAGTCGAGGCGGAGGAAGTGGCCCCCGCGTGGCGACCCCCGGGGTCACCGAGTCCGAAGGCCGGGGGTCACCGAGTCCGAAGGCCGGGGTCACCGAGTCCGAAGGCCTGCGACCTCCCCAGCCCGGCTCGGCTTCACTGCCGGGACCCGGGCGGACCCCGTCGCTCCCGCTCCTTCCTCTACCTCCGCACGTGCGGAGCCCTCTCGCCACACAGACACACACACAGACACACACTGCCAGGGGCGCCCCAGTGCGCATGCGTGCCGGATGATGTAATGACACAAATGTAGCGGAGCAAGCGGACGCGTCTGGGTGGTGCGGGCGGAGTGGGTTTGGGGTCAACGCGGGTCACGTCGCGCCCTCCTCCACCCAACATCGACTCACCCCACACCGCCCAGTGCCGGATTATCCTCGTAGCAAAAGTGGCTACATATGTAGTAGTGGTTACGGGCCCCGCACTTTCAAGGGCCCCGCGCTAAATGCTTTCAAGCTATCAATTCCGGTTCAGCGATTCTGCACTTGCTCTATTACTGTAGTACTATACTGCCTTCAACTTTTATGAGCGACTGGGTGTTTAAGGTTAGCGATTTGCCGTATTATCGGTCTGTATAGCAAATGAAAAAATACAATTACTTTACTATCCAAGTTAGAAATGTGTGTTAATATTTGTGTGTTTGTTTTGATTTAGGGCCTCTTTATAACATATGCTACAGGCCCCGCACTGGCTTAATCCGGCAATGACCCCCCACGATTGCAATATTTTAAGCAGTGTTCTCTCATAGCTGTCAACCCATACGGTTGACAGTTTCAAAGACAATGCATCATATTATCAGAGCATGTCTGTTTGCATGTTCTACGTATGGTTGATGCAGAGACGATTCCTTGCAAAAAGGTTTATATTTGGTGTTTGAACATCAGTCATTGTGACCTCCTTTTCCAGTACCAAAAATGACAATAGGTTTTCCCCTTTCTTTGGCAACAAAACAGGTGTTAAGATGTTAAAACACCAAACTGAAACCTTTTACAAGGAATCATGTCTGCATTAACCACAATACAGTGAGGGAAAACGTATTTGATCCCCTGCTGGTCAGAATGCAAACAAAAAACGTACTCTGATAATATATGCATTGTCTTTGAAATTGATTGGTCCACACCAGAGACAGCTTTCTTTTGAGCCTCGTCTCTTTTGGCGTCCTCTGGTCTAACACCGTTTTGAGACGAGGCTCAAAAGAAAGATGTCTCTGGTGTGGGCCATTCAGTTTCAAAGACAATGCATATATTATCAGAGTATGTTTTTTGTTGCATTCTGACCACAAGTACAGTGAGGGAAAAAAGTATTTGATCTCCTGCTGATTTTGTACGTTTGCCCACTGACAAAGAAATGATCAGTCTATAATTTTAATGGTAGGTTTATTTGAACAGTGAGAGACAGAACAACAACAAAAAAGTCCAGAAAAACGCATGTCAAAAATGTTATAAATTGATTTGCATTTTAATGAGGGAAATAAGTATTTGACCCCTCTGCAAAACATGACTTAGTACTTGGTGGCAAAACCCTTGTTGGCAATCACAGAGGTCAGACGTTTCTTGTAGTTGGCCACCAGGTTTGCACACATCTCAGGAGGGATTTTGTCCCACTCCTCTTTGCAGATCTTCTCCAAGTCATTAAGGTTTCGAGGCTGACGTTTGGCAACTCGAACCTTCAGCTCCCTCCACAGATTTTCTATGGGATTTAGGTCTGGAGACTGGCTAGGCCACTCCAGGACCTTAATGTGCTTCTTCTTGAGCCACTCCTTTGTTGCCTTGGCCGTGTGTTTTGGGTCATTGTCATGCTGGAATACCCATCCACGACCCATTTTCAATGCCCTGGCTGAGGGAAGGAGGTTCTCACCCAAGATTTGACGGTACATGGCCCCGTCCATCGTCCCTTTGATGCGGTGAAGTTGTCATGTCCCCTTAGCAGAAAAACACCCCCAAAGCATAATGTTTCCACTTCCATGTTTGACGGTGGGGATGGTGTTCTTGGGGTCATAGGCAGCATTCCTCCTCCTTCAAACACGGCGAGTTGAGTTGATGCCAAAGAGCTCCATTTTCGTCTCATCTGACCACAACACTTTCACCCAGTTGTCCTCTGAATCATTCAGATGTTCATTGGCAAACTTCAGACGGGCATGTATATGTGCTTTCTTGAACAGGGGGACCTTGCGGGTGCTGCAGGATTTTAGTCCTTCACGGCGTAGTGTGTTACCAATTGTTTTCTTGGTGACTATGGTCCCAGCTGCCTTGAGATCATTGACAAGATCCTCCCGTGTAGTTCTGGGCTGATTCCTTACCGTTCTCATAATCATTGCAACTCCACGAGGTGAGATCTTGCATGGAGCCCCATGCCGAGGGAGATTGACAGTTCTTTTGTGTTTCTTCCATTTGCAAATAATCCCACCAACTGTTGTCACCTTCTCACCAAGCTGCTTTGCAATGGTCTTGTAGCCCATTCCAGCCTTGTGTGGGTCTACAATCTTGTCCCTGACATCCTTGGAGAGCTCTTTGGTCTTGGCCATGGTGGAGAGTTTGGAATCTGATTGATTGATTGCTTCTGTGGACAGGTGTCTGTTATACAGGTAACAAACTGAGATTAGGAGCACTTCCTTTAAGAGTGTGCTCCTAATCTCAGCTCGTTACCTGTATAAAAGACACCTGGGAGCCAGAAATCTTTCTGATTGAGAGGGGGTCAAATACGTATTTCCCTCATTCAAATGCAAATCAATTTATAACATTTTTCACATGCGTTTTTCTGGATTTTTTGTTGTTATTCTGTCTCTCACTGTTCAAATAAACCTACCATTAAAATTATTGACTGATCATTTCTTTGTCAGTGGGCAAACGTACAAAATCAGCAGGGGATCAAATACTTTTTCCCTCACTGTATTGTGGTTAATGCAGACATGATTCCTTGTAAAAGGTTTCAGTTTGGTGTTTTAACATCTTAACACCTGTTTTGTTACCAGAAAAAAGGGGAAACCCTATTCTTCTATTATGGCCATCCTAACACCTGTTTTATTGCCAGAACGGGTGAAACCTATTATTTTTTAAACATGTTAATGTAAGATCGAGGACGTTTTCCGCGTTGCATGAAACACGGGCATTTATCACACAAGCGAATGCCATTTTAAAGGGATTTAAGGGGCACAACGTGTCTGTCTACGGGGAGTTTCATCAAGCCGCCAAACTTCCATCGATTCTCTGCTTTGACACCAGCGAGGGGCGGAACCGATGACGAGTTAGGAGTGGCTACGAGTTGGGCGGCTCGGCCACTTCCCGAGCCAAGCCACCCCCCGTGTCACTTGGTGCCCAAGCCACCCCACCGTGTCACTTGGTGCCCAAGCCACCCTCCGTGTCACTTGGTGCCCAAGCCACCCCCCCGTGTCACTTGGTGCCCAAGCCACCCCTACCCGCCCCGTGTCACTTGGTGCCCCGTGGTGGACTTTGTTCAGCGCAGTCGGGTGCCTGAGTGAGTAGTGTTTGTGTGAGGCCAGGGCTTCTGTGCTAGCGAGCAGCGTCTGAGCGCTCCGTGTTGACAGGGTGCCGTCTTGAGTTGAGTGGTGCGTCTCCGAGTGACTGTTCGGTGAGTCGGTGCTCAGTGAGCGAGTGCTGAGCGAGTGTGTTCTAAATGAGTGAGTGCTAGGTGAGTAATGAATGAGACAGTGAGTGCTTAGTGGTGTCTGAGTGCTAAGTGTCCGAGTGCGGTAAGCGAGTGCTAAGTGAGTCCTTTCTGAGTGAGTGAGCAGTGTCTGAGTGTGAAGTGGTGCCTGAGTGAGTGCTGAGTGAGTTGTGTCTGAGTGAGTGCTGAGTAAGTGAGTTATAAGTGAATGCTGAGTGAGTGGTGTATAAGTGAGTGCTGAGTTAGTGATGTCTAAGTGAGTGCTGAGTTAGTGATGTCTAAGTGAGTGCTGAGTGAGTGGTGTCTAATTAGTTAGTGGTGTCTAAGTGAGTGCTGAGTTAGTGGTGTCTGAGTGAGTTCTGAGTGAGTGATGTCTAAGTGAGTTCTGAGTGAGTGGTGTCTAAGTGAGTGCTGAATTAGTGGTGTCTGAGTGAGTTCTGAGTGAGTGGTGTCTAAGTGAGTTCTGAGTGAGTGGTGTCTAAGTGAGTGCTGAGTTAGTGATGTCTAAGTGAGTGCTGAGTTAGTGGTGTCTAAGTGAATGCTGAGTGAGTGGTGTCTAAGTGAGTGCTGAGTTAGTGGTGTCTAAGTGAGTGCTGAGTTAGTGGTGTCTGAGTGAGTTCTGAGTGAGTGATGTCTAAGTGAGTTCTGAGTGAGTGGTGTCTAAGTGAGTGCTGAATTAGTGGTGTCTGAGTGAGTTCTGAGTGAGTGGTGTCTAAGTGAGTTCTGAGTGAGTGGTGTATAAGTGAGTGCTGAGTGAGTGGTGTCTAAGTGAGTGCTGAGTGAGTGGTGTCTAAGTGAATGCTGAGTGAGTGGTGTCTGAGTGAGTGGTGTCTAAGTGAGTGCTGAGTTAGTGGTGTCTAAGTGAGTGCGGAGTGAGTGGTGTCTAAGTGAGTGCTGAGTGAGTGATGTCTAAGTGAGTGCTGAGTGAGTGATGTCTAAGTGAGTGCTGAGTGAGTGGTGTCTAAGTGAATGCTGAGTGAGTGGTGTCTGAGTGAGTGATGTCTAAGTGAGTGCTGAGTGAGTGGTGACTAAGTGAGTGCTGAGTTAGTGGTGTCT